AGGTTGACATTTACAGAGTATACATTTTACTGTGGTTCTTCACAATTTTGAGGGTTTTCTTTTGAGGAATGTTCATTTTAATGGTCCTCTGTTGTGACAATATATATATATATATATATATATATATATATATATTTTTTTTTTTGTAGACATGATGGTACAGTATTATGTTAGGGTCCCATGAGTGGTTGCTAGGGCATTGCTATGCTGTTGTTAAGGTGTTTTAAGTGTTTCTACTGCATTTCTATGTGGTTGGATTTTTTGAGTGATTGTTAGGTGACTCCTTTTTGGATCTGAAGGAGCGTTTGGTCCCAGAAACAGTGATGTGTGACGTATAATAATCCCCTTCACAAGCAGATTATTTTTGAAAGGAATGGGTCACCCAAAAATGTAAATTTGCTTAAAGTTTACTCTCCTTCAGATGAGAATATTTGGTTCTTCACTGGAAAATTTGTTTAAAATTTAGAATTACATCACTTGCTCACCAATGGATTCTCTGCAGTGAATGGGTGCCGTCAGAATAATAATGATAAAAGCTGATTTAAAAACAAAACATCAGAAATTATGGATTTGTTTCCTACAAACACTCCGCTTTCTGCTTCACAAGATGCTAAAAGATGGACTGGAGTGCTGTGGATTACATCTGAATTATTGTGATGTTTTTATCAGCTGTTTGGACTCTCATTCTGACGGAACCCATTCACTGCAGATGATCCATTGTTGGATGAACTATTCCTTTAACACACAGTATCATAGCATGTCACAAACTCCTGTCACTACTTAAAATGTCATGTCAATTTCCTATGCTTTTTTTTTTTCCAGTCAGGCACTTAATATGTGAGTGTGCAGTGGACCTGGTTACATAAAGGACTGTCTCCCTAAATATATTCCTGTTGGACACACAGAAGCATTTCTGCTGGGCTGTTGGTCATGTTCAGGGTCAGTGGAAGAGTAGTCAGTAGGTATCTTTTGAGTGTCTTAGCGTCTTATAAACAGTAGCGCCATCCTCTTTTTGTTGTGTATGTGAATCTGGCACAAGTCTGAGCAAGTTTAAACAAGTAGTCCACTTAATTTACAACTGAAGTGTACGTGTGTGCATGTACTTTGTGTCTCTGGATCTCAAGGGGCCAAGGAAAGCTACATTTCATCTAGCACTCCAGCCTCATTCTCTCTGTCTTGCTTTGTGTGCAGAGCCTATCAGGCCCAGAATGCATCAGATGCACACAGCCTAACTCACTTACAGCTTAACCAGACTGCAAAGGTTAACTATGGTCAGGATAACTCTCTCTTTCTCTATTCCCATTCAGTCTTCTCCATATCAAATGCCCTTGTAAACTTTTATTACCCCTTATATGTCACCCAGGAAAGAGGTTAAGCTTGACGTTTTAATTACCGGAAGGTTACATCGAGAAAATGCTATTGCTCAGAGGTTGCACTTTCATAGCTCAGAACGTTGTTGACACACAGCAAGAAAAATAAATTATGAATATATGAAGAGTTCAAATGCAAAAGCCTCTAAGTGCCATCTGAAATTTTCTTCTAAAATGAGCATGTTCAGTTTATGTTCAGTTATTTTAGATTAATTGCATTGAAAAGGACCTATACATTGCCATTAGAATAAAATTACTGAAGCTAAACATAGGAGCCTGATAAAAATGCTCATTTTAGATGAAAATTTCAGACAGCACTTAGAGGCTTTAGCATTTAGGATTTAGGATTTTATGATTATAACACAATTATTTTGCATAGATATTGATAAAATAAGAAAATTAATAATAATTAATAATTATATTTAGGATTGAATCACCATTATTTGCAAAGATAAATATTGATAAAATAAGCATAATGAAATAAAACAATTTTTAAATTACATTTAGAATTAAAACAATAATTTTGCATAGATGTATAGATATTGATAAAACAAGCATAATTAATATTATAATCATAATTTGTGATTATATTTATGATTAAACAATTATTTTGCATAGATAAATATTAATAAAACAAGTATTATTAAATACAATTATAATTTATGATTATATTTATAATTGAAAATAATTTTGCATAGATATTAAAATCAGCATAATTAAAATTATAATAATAGATGACAATTATATGTGTGATTAATAATTATTTTGCCTAGTGTTAAAATAAGCATAATAAAATAATAATCATAAATTATGATTATATTTATGATTAACAATTATTTTGCATTGCTAGATAATAAATACATTCTAATAAATTAAATAAGCATAATTAAAATTATAATTTATTATTACATTTATGATTAAAATGTAGACAGATATTGATAAAAAAGCATAATTTATAAAAACAAAACAAACGAAATCCAGTATGAGACATCCATTTACTAGATGTTTATAATTCTACTGCTGGAGGCAAGTGACTTTCATATCATTTGGCAAGCAGGGTTTGCCTGCCAGCAGGACTTTGCCCGACTCTTTAGCCATTAGAGGATTTATGTCACCATTGGCGGGTACAGCAAGACTGGCACACAAATACCAGACATTATTTGCAAAGATTTAGGACCAGAGCTCAAGCAGCTAAGCCGCAGTTAGCAAGACATTGGGTGTTTTCCAAGATCACTAGTTTTCAGATTTCTAAAGCAATGTATTTTTTGTCAGCATTTCTAGAATGCCGGTGACGTGATAAAAGGAAATAGAATTCCACTTATTTAGTCTTTTTCCTATAGCGTGATCTGCATAGCTTCTAAACTCATTCAGCCCCGTGACCCACAGTTCACTTCCTGTTTCTCTTAAAGCACTTCCTTTGCGCTTATAGATGAGTCAGAGTGCAGTTTCAGTGACCTTTACTATTGCAGTGTTTGGCTGTATGTATGTTTGTGTGAGTGTGATGGGGTGTGGAGGCTGATTTAGAGTGAAAAAGCATGCCTGCTTTGGCCGGAATTGTTCCTAGCACAGTTATTTTCTGTCAGAGCACTCACAAACACATGAGCGCAAAGCACCGCCTTCAAGTGTTAACAATGGTTTGTGAATTTACTGTGATTTCCAGATCGGTCTTGGAGAATAGAAGGAATAAATAGACATTTCCTCTTGGCCTTCTGGTTGCACACAAACATGTTCATAAGCACACCTCCACAGCCACGCAAAGGACGTACACGCCTCTACACACATGCTCGCAGATGCACACATCCGTTCTGCTACATTCATGCAACAAAAACAACACTTGAAACTTAGACAGTGTAGCTGCTATCAGCTGTGCACATGCACACCTCATTTTTTTTACACAAATAGCACCCAAGCATTGTGCACCATTTTGATTTCATAGGAAAGCATATTTTTTTTCTCTCCTCACAATGACAGAAATATGAATGTGTTGACCCCCCCCCCCCCAAAAAAACCCCAGCAAATCACAGCAGTTTATTGCACTCCCAGCGTGACAAACTATATAAAAGCATCATAAGGAAGCACATTTAACATTCCTAAAGGTTAAGGATAACATCTGTATCTAATTCCCAGAATGAACCCGAAGGCTAAAAACAAAACTTAGTGTTTAAAAATGTATGAGTGTTCTCATCTCAAAAGTACATGGCTGCATTGTTATTGGTGGTGTTTGACCACTAAAGACCTCTTAGTCATGCAGTATTTCCGCAATGCATTCACCCGGGGCACAAAACCACAGAATGTCACTGGAGACATGGAAAAATGAATGTGTTGGCCCCCCCCCCCCCAAAAAAACCCCAGCACAAAACCCGCCCCACATCTGATTCTAAGGATTTCATTGGTCAATCACAGTGCTGATTGCCTACACAACACTGAAACAAATACTAACCCCTAATTAAAAGATAACGACACTGTTTGTCACAATCTGATCTGATTTGTTGGCAGGTGATTGAGTTAGCCAATAAAAATCTTTATTGGTTTGGGTTTGAGTTTGAATGGTTTGGGGAAAAAAATTTGGGAGGAATATTGGGTTTGCACTGGTGGTTTGAGGGGAAAAAAGCATGCAATGTGAATACATCAAGACCTAACTATACTCTAAAAAATGCTGGGTTGTTTCAACCCAATGTTGGGTCAAATATGGACTAACCCAACTGTTGGGTTAAAAAGCTAATTTAAAAATGTAACCAAAATTTAACCCAACAGTTGGGTTAGTCCATATTCAACCCAACATTGGGTTGAAACAACCCAGCTTTTTTTAGAGAGTACCATATTTAATTTTTTTTAAACTGTCTTAAGGTTTAAATTGTAATGTTGTGTCGTGTATTGTCTTAAAATATAATAAAATATGATTATACACTTTGACTTCACTTTGAGCTCCATGTACATAAATTGTTCCAGTCCATGTGTAGCTTGGCGACATAAAAATCAAATGCTTTGGCTTCTCTTGGAACTATATTTACATTGCCAGAGAAGAACTAAACCAACTAACTGAACAAAATGTTGTATGAAATTTAGATTACTCTATATTAACTTAACCAGCCTCCTGTCTGCGGTCGAATCACAGAACTCTTGCTTGTGTGATTTTGCTTTTGCTTATTTTTATTTATTAATTTTATTTTAACGTCAAAAACTAAATCAGCTCTTGTTATCTGAAGTGACATAAGGGGATGGAAGATTTAAAAAAATTATTTTGTTTAATTTTTTTGATTTATTGATAGATCTTTACAACAAAATATATTCATTTCTAAAGCTTAATTAAAAGCAACAAATCACTTTACAACTAAAATATTACGACGCATAGATTAAAAAAACTGCTTCTGCTGCTTATATAATACTGGTTGCATTTCAACGGCACACATTCTTAAAGAAGAAAAAGATTAATTTGTGAAAGTGTATTTAACACTCAGCCAGAATTCCTCTCATTCTCTAGTGTGAATTTCAGCTGAGTATAGTAAAAACAGCTTTACTGCATTTACTAAATTGAAGTCAGCACAGCTGCCTGTCGGCACACAAACTCCCTCATTGGACTCTTCAATCCATTATTCTCTCCCCCCACCCTTAAATCCATTTCGCCGGGCTTTGCAGCTCGCCACGCCTCGCCTCGTTTTTTCCTCAATAGTTGTCAGAGCTTCGGGTCACTCACTAGTCGTCGTGAGGCATCTTCCACTCCCTTTCTTTCTCTCTCTCTGTCTCCCTGTCCTCCACCTTCTCAGGCTCCAGCATCCTTTCAGCAAAGGCTGAGAAAACCGTGGACCGCGAAGCAGCTCGTATACTCGAGGTCGCCTGAGCTCTGCATTATCCGAGGCAGGAAAACAAACGCAAGTCTTTTCTCCTCAAAAGTTCTCGACTCAAACTCCGACCATGTCCGGCGAAGACGCACCTGCCCAGCAGCAAAACGCCGAGGAGCAGAAGCAGCAGCAGCAGCAGCAAGAAACCAAGACGCCCGCCGAGTCCCCAAAAACCGAGAGCAAACCAGACCCACCGCCCAGCAGCGCCTCCACCGAGGCCGCCGCCGCCGCCGACACCCCAGCGCCCGCCGAGGAGAAAGCCCCAGAGGAAGACACGTTCAGCTACCGGGCTCTGGTGCTCACCGGCTACGGCGGCTATGATAAGGTGAAACTCCAAGTGAAGAAGGGGAAGCCAGCTCTCAAGAGCGGCGAGGTGATGGTGCGCGTAAAAATGTGCGGGCTGAACTTCGCAGATCTGATGGCGAGACAGGGACTGTACGACCGGCTCCCGTCCCCGCCGGTAACCCCGGGCATGGAGTGCTCCGGGATCATCGAGGCTGTCGGTGAAGACGTGACTGATAGAAAAGTGAGTAAACGCATCGCTTAGTGTATCTATACAGCCATGTATTCATTAACGGAGCAGATTTTATTGCACATTTAACGCGTTTGTTGTTATGAAAATGTTTCCACAATGTTTCCAGTTCATACTCCGTGCAAAAATAATGTCAGTCATTCAAAGAGACAACTCGTTCTCAAACTCCTGTCACATTCACTCGCCAGTCGCCACCTGAGACAAAAGAGGAGCGGGAGGGGCACCGATAGCCTCATTTCAGAACCGCCGGAGCTCTTGTCGCGCTGACCCGAGCAATGGGACGCTAAACGTTCACGGGAGAGCCAGCTTTGCTTGTGTACGCGGCGAGTTGAAAGTAACAAACAGCCCGAGGATACGTTTTGTACACCGTTATGCAAACAGCGTTCACAGCTTCCTATAATGGAAGCGTTGAGTTTATCGCGTCTCCGTGTGGATGAACCACCGCCCCTCTTTCTCTCAGCGCTCGCGAAGTCGCACCTGAGACGCGCCGCATCCTTCTAGACGCTCTAAAAAGTAGCGAAATTATGCTCTCGACCGGTGCTAATGCACTTTTAGCAATCTGTGCGAGCGATAGCGGTGTCAAGTGGGCGCGTGAAAAAAAGGGCGAGGCGCAGGGGGGAAAATGCTAATCGCACGCGCCCTTTGTCATCTGCCTCGCGCATTGTGACACCGACATACACTCTGACATCATTCATCATTCCTGCCAGATTTTTTTCTCTCTCTTCGTTTTGGCCTCTTTAAACAATAATTAAAGTTTTTCTTCCTTTTATATAAACGTCAACGCCTATTTCTGTAGGCATAGCGCCAATGCAATACACTTTCTTATTATTACCATATTTGATACAGTTGGCCGGCGGATATCTGTGCGATTAAATAAATCTAATTCTCTGCCTCGCGCATTGTGACACCGACATACACTCTGACATCATTCATCATTCCTGACTCTCTTCGTTTTGGCCTCTTTAAACAATAATTAAAGTTTTTCTTCCTTTTATATAAACGTCAACGCCTATTTCTGTAGGCATAGCGCCAATGCAATACAATTTCTTATTATTACCATATTTGATACAGTTGGCCGGCGGATATCTGTGCGATTAAATAAATCTAATTGTCGGGTTACTTTTTCAGCTCCATTGAAAACGGCGGAGTCTAGTATGACGTGGCCTAATTGACTTTCTATGTGCTCCATAAGAACAAATCGATGAGTCATGCCTGTGGTAGCTGCGCTGGTCTCCATGGCAACGTATCATGGCAACGCCATGCACCGGCTCTCTGTGTGAGAGTTGCTTAAAAGGATTTGATATTTGTATTACCGAGAATAAACACGCTTAATGAGAAGCAGGCGAGGTAAGATGTTGAAGAATTGTGTGAAATGCAGATTAAAGCCTGAGCGTGTGTTAACACCAGAGAGGGAAAGAGGTAGGAGCACTAGGCGTTGGCTGGTGGGTGATGCAGAGAAGGAAGATAATTGTCCAGCCCTTCCTCAGCCTCGTCTGTCACCGATATTGAATTAAAAAGGTCACCGGCCACTCTCTCTCTCGCTCTCTCTCTCTGTATGTCCATGTCAGCAAGCAAACAATTGCTTCTTCTCACATTGGGAGACCTGATAGTGCTTGGCAAAGCTGACATTGTTTGGTGAGCATGTGAGGTGAGGAGTCTGCTGATTGTGGCGTCCGGTAAATGACTCTTTCTTGGAGGAAGAGATGGAGACGCTGTCTCTGCGCACACCGCTGTAGAGGTGGACACTTAAGGCTGTGACATCCTCTCACATGACCCGACAGATGTTACTCTGAAACTGCTCTCTTGTGCCCACTCTCTGTCTATATTAGCATTTTTGTCATGAATAATTCATGTAACTTGTTGCTTGTGCACACACACAATATTTATCAGAGTTCTGCTGTGAGGATCAGATGCATCTGTTCACAATTATCTTCCTCAGGGCCACATTGTCAGCCTGGAATTTTCTCTCTCTCCCTCTCTCTCTCTCCCTGTGTATGTGTGTGTGATTTTGACAGGTCGATGATAAACAGCGATGCAGTGAATATCAGTAAGTGAACAGCAGGGACACGAGCATCTATAGCTGAATCTGATGTTGCTGTGTAACATTTCTGATCGAGAAACCGTTTTAACCATAAGGTTTTGACATGGAAACCTTAGTACTCGCGTTTAAGAGCAGTTTAATGGCGCCATAAAGGAAGAGTTATGGGTTTATGAGTCGTAGGCTGAGATTTGTTCAGTTAGTGGTACTATAAGAGCGATCAACATGTTAGAGCTGCATCAATGTGGAAAAATAATAAAAACATTTACTGAGCCATAATGTCAAAATACAACAAAAGAGGTACCGGTGTTTCACGATGTGCAGAGAGTGGTTACAGAAGTGGAAACAGACCTAATTTAACAATTGTAGGGTATAAACAATGCGGGTGAGAATAAAATGACTCTCTAAGCCCAGTTTTATTAGGTGCAACATAAAAGCAAGCAATAATTAAAGGGATGAAGTTGACAAGTCAAACTGCGACTGCAGTTACCTCACTGTGCATTTTAAGTATTTTAACTTTGTAACATTATTTAAGTGTAAAAAACATTTAAAACTATAAAAGTATTCAAAGTATAAAAATGAGTACATTGGGGGGGGGTTCCAAAAAATGTACCTATTATTCTGAGTAAAAGATGGTAACATTGCTGCTGAATGGCAAGTTGGTAAAAAATTTTTTTTTTTGCAATTTATAGGAATTTATTAACAGAAAAATGCGTAATATTAATATATAATGGGTACATTATCTTAAAGGGGTCATATGATGTTCCTAAAAAGAACATTTTATTTGGTGTAATGAAATGTGTTTGTGGTTTAAGGTTCAAAAAACACATTATTTTCCACATTATTTATAGAAACATTATTGTTTCTCCTCTATGCCCCGCCTTTCTGAAACGCGTCGATTTTTACAAAGCTCATCAGTCTGAAAAGTGAGGTGTGCTCTGATTGGCCAGCTATCCAATGCGTTGTGATTTGCCGAATACCTCAAGCGTGTGACGGAAATGTTACGCCCCTTACCATACTGTGATGATGCCCTTTCCGGCCGGAGCGATGATTCAAAAACATGAAAACCCATTATAATGGGGACATAATTATGGATTATAATGACTTGTACTGTCTTTTTACACGTTGCATTGCATCGTGCCGCGTAAACATAAAACCATGTCTGCATTTGTGATCGGAGAAATGACAAACAACAAGCCCTACTCTACACTGCCCAAAACTCGCTTTAAATATAAAAACTCTTTAAATATAAAAAACGTACTTGCAGTCTGTGAACAGCCAGCATTGTAGTCTACTCTACCAGGATCAGGAAACGGTCGGTGGCCGGTGGATTCGACGAAGGAGCGTCCGGAGGGCTTGCGGCAACCACATGTGACGACCCCGGGCTGGACTCCGCTTCGTCCACGGTGAAAGCCAATCCGACGATCCACAGCGCAAAGTTGTAGTATTTCCTTCAGCGACCAGCACGGATCAGCTCCAGGCATGATGAAGCAGATATCGTCCTCTTTTGGAAGGCCAAACAAAGTAGTTTTGCTTTCACAACGAAACACACATGCCTTCACGACATGGCGGCGGCAACAACAATACTACAGCGAGGATTAAAGTTATGCCTTCTTTCTTTGCGTGAGCATTTGGGTGGCATTATGCAAATCTTCCCACATAGTGAGGTAGATATGTGGGGGCGTGTTGGAACGAGCCGTTTTAAGTAGGTGTGGCTGACTCTTAACTTTTATAAAGAATATTTCTTTGGATTTGAGACTTTAGTCTTTGCAACTTTACAGATCTTCTTTATGCACCAAGAGCTTGTAATGCTCCAAAGAGAAAGGAAAAATTGAAATCGCATCATATGACCCCTTTAAGTCTTGTACTGGTCACCATTTTTGTCATTTTGTTGCCTTTTCTAGTTCATAGGGTTAGGGTTAGGGATCTGTGCAGGTCCAGAAAAAAAAAAAAACACAATGAGGGGAAAAAGTATAAATATTCCATGTAATCTCTCAATTAATGTTAGGTCATTAAGCTGCATGAATAGTAATTATAAAATGGTGCTATTTAAAAAATTATTTAAAATAACTTTAGGGAGAGTAAAGCATGTTCACATCACAAGACATGTTAGTAAAATAACTTTTTCCCCATATGTTTTACTGTCTTTTGTGAAATAACAATTCTTAACAACGCTTGGTGGATACCAGTTAACATGCAAGTGAAAAATACGCTTTTTTCATATTAATTCATATTAAAATAATCATTAGATAATCAGAATATTTCAATAATTAGTTAAAATATAGCTAAAATAAAGCAGAAATATTTAGTAATTAGTTCCTCCATAATTAGTTGCGGTTTCATAGATGCTACCAATTTAAAGCAGCAGTGTGTTTTTGCATGGACTGCACCCCACCTGGAGCATACAGGGTTTAAGCGTCTTGCTCAAAGGCACAGTGGTGATGAAACAGGATTGTGATCTCAATATCTCTCCGCCCCACGTGGGATTTTGAGCCGCCGTCCTTTGTGTTAGCAGCCCAGAGCCTCAACCGCAGGGCTACTGCTGCCAGATACAAAACAAACAAACAGATAAAATAGACAAAATCAGTGCTGGGAGACAGCAAAGCTTTATGGAGCAGAACCCCGCTAATTTCCACAGCAACAAGATTAGAAGTTCACCGACAGATGTATTGCATGAGCAAAATGCATTAGAGAGAGAGCCACTTTACCCTTCAAAGTCTGTGTGTGTGTTTAAGTGTGTACGTGCATGCATACAGGACCGAAAGAGACTGGAGAGACATGGGAGAGGATCACAGCCAGTGACCGACATCTCACAAGACCTTCAGCTGGCCTTGATCTTTGCAATCTCCGCTGAAAAGTGTGTTTGTTCAGCGCAAGCACAGAATACAAAGTATGATGATGAGTTAGTGACACAAGTGTGACTGTTTTGCAAGTCTGACGAAGAAAGAGAGCGAGAAAAAAGGAGGGGGAAGAGGGCAGATTTCCCCGTATGGTGAGTCATGATCGCAGTTCCTGGCTGAGACTTATTGTCCATTGATCTGAGATGTGCAGAAAGTCCAATTAAAGGAGAAAGAAGAAGAGGAATGGCAGAAAGCAATACTGAGACGTGGAAGATGAGAAGAGAGAGAGAGACAGGAAAGACTGCAAACCGTGAGGAGAGATGAACTGGGGCACAGACATATCGGCTTGGGAGTAGTCCTGCTCTCTAATTGGACTGTATAGACAAACATGCCCATGTGTCCCTTGGGCCGATTAGACTGTGTGTCTTCCTGTCTGTGAGGGAAGCACTGGGTATATTAGTGTTTGCATTTTGCTTTTGAGAAAAGCTTGTGTGTGTGTGTGGTTCCTGAAGCTCTGTTGAGCATTTGTGCCACGTTTGTGTGTCCTCAGATAGAGAAATGAAGAGATGGTTTTCCGGTTGGGGGTGTGTGTGTGTGTGTGTTGTCTTCTCTCAAGCTCATTGAGGCTGAAGGATCTGCCTGCCCCCCGATGAGAGGAACTGATCTTTAGAAATAAAGAAAGACTGAGGTAGAGGGGGAGATGAGAGATGTAAAGGAGTGATAGACGGAGAAAGAGTGGTGGAGGAAGTGGGATGTTTGTGATGCTAGTGACTGAGAAAATACACAAGTGGAGGACGGGACATAAGTGTTGAGTGTTTTTGTGCATGTTACAAAGGTCGGACCAGTCAGTGTCACTGCTTTTATGAATTTTGTAAACCGCTTAAAGGTGAAGTGTGCCGTTTGTTTGCGCCAGCGACACCAAACAGAATGGCAAGCGGTTTTTTTTTTTTGGCAGCTTGACTGGATTGGATGTAACAACACTGGCTCAACCATTGATTTGAAAACATGAACCATTAGTGGTGCAAATATTAGACTGTGCAATTCCTTTAGAGGTTTATTAGTGGTACCTTCTATTGCTCGTACTGTATTTAAAGGGATAGTTAATCCAAAAATGAAAATAGTAATTTACTCCGCTTCATGTAATTCCAAACCTATCATTTTCTTCTGTGGAACACAAAGATATTTTGAAGAATGTATTAACTATTTTTGCCAATACGGTGAAAGGCAATAGGGTCCAAAATAATACTGGAGTAAAAGTTGGACTAAAGAAATTGACATTGAAATGCCATGTAAATGCATTAGTCCAGTTAAAATGGTACTGGTCAGGTTTTTGTGAAGTCAGACTAACAGACCTATATAACTTAATTGTAGCTTGGATTTGTACACCTTAAAATTGCGATTGTAATGAAATTAGCATCAGACCTTTTCTTCTGAATTGTAATGTACATCCGAAAGAAACAGCTTTTTGAAAAAGAAAAAAAAAATAGGGTGGGGATTTGGTTCTATCCATCGGTTGTTGATTGGATGGAGGGCGGTCTGAACGCTTGTTTGATCGTAAGAAAGGGGCGGGGTTTAAAATACTTGAATGATTGGAGAAGTCCAGCATACTCAACCAGAAAGAAATCTATCCTTTCACTGGGAGGTCAAGTTTTGAAAGTCAATTTTGATTTAAAAATCACAAGCTCAATTTAAAAAAAAAAAAAAAAAAAAAAAAAAAAAAAAAAAAAGCAACAAGCATGGATGATTCGCTCACAGTAGCTTGCAGGAAATAGTGAATTTCCATTTCACAAAATATTTGATTATGCATTGTCATGTATAGGTTCGATTATGCAACAAACCACTGTAGCTCAATTTCAAATGCACAAACTCACTAATTGTGGTTCAGATTTATGTGCTACAAGTGTGTGTCTGTGTTTGCATTCCTTGTATTTCTTCATTCCAAAGGAAGTAGTGGAAGTCTGCTCAATGAGTTTTCCTCTCTCTCTCTCTCTCTCTCTGTCTCTCTCTCTGTGTGTGGGTCACCAAGGTAATTAAAGGATTTTCAGTTACAACTGATATTATCAAACAACTCTAAATGGAGCATATTTATCTGCTCCAAGATAAAGATTAACAAAACAGTCCAGCTGGCCTACAGTACAGGTTCAAATATTTCGTTGAGGTATGCTGTCTTGGAGGGTAATGACAACAAAACATACACAAGAGATCCTCCAGATCTGTGCAGCTGGGCAATTGTCTTGCCAAAAAAATTTTTTTTTTATAAACGCAAATGAACAAATAATTATACAGATCCGCTGAGCATTATCACATCTTCTCGAATACTCTCTTAATGGTTATTGATGTATATTCAACATTGTTGCAGCGCTGCTATAGTGACTGTGGCACAAAACACTGAAAGGCATATTTTTGCTGAAACATTCCAGGGCTGTTGTCCAAAGGTTCCTTGAATGTTTCTCTGTTTTCTTGTCTGTAGGTGGGTGATAAGGTCCTGGTTCTGAACCGGAGCGGTATGTGGCAGGAAGTAGTAGTGGTGGCGACCACACACACCTTCCTGATACCAGAGGGCATGAGCTTTGAGGAGGCGGCGGCACTTCCTGTCAATTACATCACCGCCTACTTGATGCTCTTCGACTTTGGGCACCTGCGTCCGAACCAGAGTGTGCTCATCCATATGGCTGCAGGTAAGTGTGTGTGTGTGTGTGTGTGCACTGTGGAGATTATGCAAATGTATAACAGGCTTCATAACAGGGTTTACATGCAGCCTAATGTAGTTATATTTTCATGAGCTGCAGCACAATGGACACATCCATCATGTGCAGGTGTGCGTAAGTGTTTGTGTATATACAGTTCTTGCAGCTGGCTAAAAGGGTGCCCTGGGGCTTTTTACTGCGGCGAGGGAGTACAGCAGTGGTTTACATTTACTTATGCGCTCCCATCGTCATTCGTGGGAGTGGATCAGTGAGTCCCTTGTGGCAATTAACTATTTCCAAGTGTCGTCCCTAAGGGATTTCTTGCTCTCTCTCTGCAGGTGTACGCATGTGTGTGGGTGTGTTGGGAAACCATGCTCTCTAAATAATGAACTTTGGGATGCACTGCAAGTGCAGGTGCAGGATTGAATAGTTTATTATTTCTTGGAGGATATTCCTGTAGGTGTCAAACAAATCTCTTGTCAATAAATTCATACGAGCGAGTCCCTTGGCAGCGGTTTAGTTTATAAACGTTAAGGCAATGTGAAGACTGTGCTCTGGCTGTATTAAAAAACAGTGACAGATTTACACAATTATTCATTTAATTATGCAACATTTAAAGTGATTAAGGGTTTTGTACTCTGAATAGAATGGTGCGTGTGTTGTTGTTAGAATGTGTGTGTATTGATGTATCTGTGAGTGCGTTGCGGTGTTGGGTTTTTAAGTGTGCATTGTTATTCATGAGGGTCTTTTTTTAGTTATATTTAATAACCAAAGTGAGGGAAACCACGGTTTTCAGGCTGATGAACATTTTTGTGGTATCAATATGAAAAAAAACCCCTATATGTTTTAAAAGAGATGCACCGATTGATCGGCCATGGATCGGAATCTGCCGATTTTCCTCATGATCGGCCCGAATCGGTGACCGGCCGGTCAGTCTCACTACTTTACGATTTCGAGCCGATCCGTTTTGTTACCAGCGGCACAGGTCTTAACTTCAGCTGCGCATTCTCGCTCTCTTCTCTCCGACGACCCCTTCTCTCTCACACACATCTCATTCGCTCAAATAGTGCTTGTATTGCACATTATTTTAGTAATTCCCGCAGGTTTCGCATTTACACCAAAAGCGCGCACCACCACTGATCTATATTAGTGGAGCGCACACAATCCGCGCTCAGTTTCAAACCGCTTGTGAGCCACAAATACCAACATGAGTGGCTAACTGCGCTAAAACGTTCAAATACATACAAAATTATGTCAAAATGCCCGTCTTGGCCAGTATCTAGTTAAACACAGTCAGTTTTTGAAGGTTAAATAGTTGAGAAAGAGAACGCATGTTGTGTAACAGTATATTGGGTCCGTGTATAAACTCTTAAAGGGACCGCAGTCCAATATTCCTGCTGCTGTCTGTCATGTTAATCAAAGAACAAAAGACAAAGAAAATCACTTTCTGCTCTTGACTGAATACGTTTTATAACTTTAATGGTAAGCATTAATCTGTATTTAATTTTTACAATGAAGACTACACAAATTAAAGTAATCAAATGTAAAATAACACTGGATGTGTTATTTTACATTTGATTACTTAAATTTCTGTAGTATTTCTTACCTGAATAAAAACTTACTTAACCTGAAAAACTTAGTTTCATAGCTCTCTTTATTCTATTGCATTTATTTGTGCTGTTGTTTGCAATTTATTTTCTTGTTTTCTTTTATTACTGACTTTTTACGTGTGTGTTTTTATATATTTTTTTTAATGAAAAAACTTTGCATTGAAGAAAAGTAGATTTTTGTTTGTATATGCTGTCAATTATAGTTTTTAGAAAGAATATCGGCAGATCACACTAACAAGAAATCGGAATCGGCCAAGAAAATTGCAGTCAGTTCATCTCTAGAGAAAATGTTGGGGAAGCTAGTGAAATAGCTGGAATCAGACTGAGGGGAGTAGCTAAATACATCAAAATTGCTGATAAAATCAGCAAATTTAGAACAAACTGCTCTGGTATGGTACGCCCTCCACATACTCAAGAAATACCAGCATTTAAAATGCCAACATCGTAATGAAAAGTAGGCCTAACACACAGCAGTTTCCTGCCTGACAGCACTGCTTAGAAACCATACAATACAGCCATTACAAATTCATCCAATTCAAGTGTTTTAAAAAAGAAAAATGACAAGCATTGTTCATAATTGAATTATTTTATGTCTAAGTATTTATGTTTGGTATTGTTTAAACAAGCTAAAGAGATTCATTGTAAGACAATGGTTAAAGCCATTGATTGTAAGTGTAATTAGAGCCAAGCACCCCATGGTCAAAGCACAAACTACTGGTAAAAAAACAAAACACAAAATTATCATTTTGGCTTACAACGTCTGGCTTGATGTTAAATGCAGAGCTGGGTAGATTATTTTGAAATTGTAGTCTGTTACTGATTCCAGGTTACATGACAAAAGTTGTAGTTAGAAATGTAATCTGTTGCATTACAAATGTTAGGTAATGTTCTACCTACTTTTTGATTTTTTTGATTTTTTTTTACTTTTGTTTTGCTATTGTTGTTTCTCTAATGAAAATTAATTTAAAGGGGTCATATGATGTTGCTAAAAAGAACATTATTTGATGTAATGAAATGTGTTTATGCGGTTTAAGGTAAAAAAAAAAACACATTATTTTCTACATACTGTACATTATTGTTTCTCCTCTATGCCCCGCCTTTCTGAAACATGTCGATTTTTACAAAGCTCATCGGTCTGAAAGCGAGGTGTGCTCTGATTGGCCCCAGCTAACCGACTGGGGGAAGTCGTGGCCTAATGGTTAGAGTCAGACTCCTAACCCAAAGGTTGTGGGTTCGAGTCTCGTACCGGCAGGGATTGTAGGTGGGGGGGGGGAGTGAATGTACAGCGCTCTCTTCCACCTTCAATACCACGATTGAGGTGCCCTTGAGCAAGGCACCGAACCCACAATTGCTCTCCGGGCGCCGCAGCATAAATGGCTGCCCACTGCTCCGGGTGTGGGTGTGTGTGTGTGTGTGTGTGTGTTCACTGCTGTGTGTGTGCACTTTGGATGGGAAAAAGCAGAGCACTAAGGCCACATGTCACGTCACTCACTCACTATCCAGTGCGTTGTGATTGGCCGAATACCTCAAGTGTGTGACGGAAATGTTACA